ATAAAAATGTGACATTAATAAGACTCTGATTTTGAAGAAATGCCATTAGACTAAACATAAGATACAAAGAAAATAAAAATGTAATAATATAGAAAATGAATAGATTAACGAGAATAGGATCGGTTAGAATTATCGTTGATTATTTCCCTTATATATAAAAATGTGACATTAATAAAACTGATTTTAAAGAAAATCTACTAGATTAAACACAAGATATAAAGAAAATAAAAATGGAATAATATACAAAATAAATAAATTAACAAGAATAGGATCGGTCAGAATTATCGTTGATTATTTTCCTTATAAAAATGTGACATTAATAAGACTCTGATTTTGAAGAAAATCCATTAGATTAAACATAAGATACAAAAAAAATAAAAATGTAAGAATATAAAAAATGAATAGATTAACGAGAATAGGATCGGTCAGAATTATCGTTGATTATTTCCCTTATATATAAAAATGTGACATTAATAAGACTCTGATTTTGAAGAAATGCCATTAGACTAAACATAAGATATAAAGAAAACAAAAATGTAATAATATACAAAATGAATAGATTAACGAGATTAGGATCGGTCAGAATTATCGTTGATTATTTCCCTTATATATAAAAATGTAACATTAATAAGACTCTGATTTTGAAGAAATGCCATTAGACTAAACACAAGATACAAAGAAAATAAAAATGTAATAATATACAAAATGAATAGGTTAACGAGATTAGGATCGGTCAGAATTATCGTTGATTATTTCCCTTATATATAAAAATGTGACATTAATTAGACTGATTTTAAAGAAAATCTACTAGACTAAACATAAGATACAAAAAAAATAAAAATGGAATAAAATACAAAATGAATAGATTAACGAGATTAGGATCGGTCAGAATTATCGTTGATTATTTCCCTTATATATAAAAATGTGACATTAATAAGACTGATTTTGAAGAAATATTAGACTAAACACAAGATACAAAGAAAATAAAAATGTAATAATATACAAAATGAATAGATTAACGAGATTAGGATCGGTCAGAATTATCGTTGATTATTTCCCTTATATATAAAAATGTAACATTAATAAGACTCTGATTTTGAAGAAATGCCATTAGACTAAACACAAGATACAAAGAAAATAAAAATGTAATAATATACAAAATGAATAGATTAACGAGATTAGGATCGGTCAGAATTATCGTTGATTATTTCCCTTATATATAAAAATGTAACATTAATAAGACTCTGATTTTGAAGAAATGCCATTAGACTAAACACAAGATACAAAGAAAATAAAAATGTAATAATATACAAAATGAATAGATTAACGAGATTAGGATCGGTCAGAATTATCGTTGATTATTTCCCTTATATATAAAAATGTGACATTAATAAGACTGATTTTGAAGAAATCTACTAGACTAAACATAAGATACAAAGAAAATAAAAATGTAATAATATACAAAATGAATAGATTAACGAGATTAGGATCGGTCAGAATTATCGTTGATTATTTCCCTTATATATAAAAATGTGACATTAATAAGACTGATTTTGAAGAAAATCTACTAGACTAAACATAAGATACAAAGAAAATAAAAATGTAATAATATACAAAATGAATAGATTAACGAGATTAGGATCGGTCAGAATTATCGTTGATTATTTCCCTTATATATAAAAATGTGACATTAATAAGACTCTGATTTTGAAGAAATGCCATTAGACTAAACATAAGATATAAAGAAAATAAAAATGTAATAATATACAAAATGAATAGATTAACGAGATTAGGATCGGTCAGAATTATCGTTGATTATTTCCCTTATATATAAAAATGTAACATTAATAAGACTCTGATTTTGAAGAAATGCCATTAGACTAAACACAAGATACAAAGAAAATAAAAATGTAATAATATACAAAATGAATAGATTAACGAGATTAGGATCGGTCAGAATTATCGTTGATTATTTCCCTTATATATAAAAATGTGACATTAATAAGACTCTGATTTGAAATGCCATTAGACTAAACACAAGATACAAAGAAAATAAAAATGTAATAATATACAAAATGAATAGATTAACGAGATTAGGATCGGTCAGAATTATCGTTGATTATTTCCCTTATATATAAAAATGTGACATTAATAAGACTGATTTTGAAGAAAATAGACTAAACATAAGATAAAAAAATAAAAATGTAATAATATACAAAATGAATAGATTAACGAGAATAGGATCGGTCAGAATTATCGTTGATTATTTCCCTTATATATAAAAATGTGACATTAATAAGACTGATTTTGAAGAAAATCTACTAGACTAAACACAAGATACAAAGAAAATAAAAATGTAATAATATACAAAATGAATAGATTAACGAGATTAGGATCGGTCAGAATTATCGTTGATTATTTCTCTTATATATAAAAATGTGACATTAATAAGACTCTGATTTTGAAGAAATGCCATTAGACTAAACATAAGATATAAAGAAAATAAAAATGTAATAATATACAAAATGAATAGATTAACGAGAGTAGGATCGGTCAGAATTATCGTTGATTATTTCCCTTATATATAAAAATGTAACATTAATAAGACTCTGATTTTGAAGAAATGCCATTAGACTAAACACAAGATACAAAGAAAATAAAAATGTAATAATATACAAAATGAATAGATTAACGAGATTAGGATCGGTCAGAATTATCGTTGATTATTTCTCTTATATATAAAAATGTAACATTAATAAGACTCTGATTTTGAAGAAATGCCATTAGACTAAACACAAGATACAAAGAAAATAAAAATGTAATAATATACAAAATGAATAGGTTAACGAGATTAGGATCGGTCAGAATTATCGTTGATTATTTCCCTTATATATAAAAATGTGACATTAATTAGACTGATTTTGAAGAAAATCTACTAGACTAAACATAAGATACAAAAAAATAAAAATGTAAGAATATAGAAAATGAATAGATTAACGAGAATAGGATCGGTCAGAATTATCGTTGATTATTTCCCTTATATATAAAAATGTGATATTAATAAGACTGATTTTAAAGAAAATTTACTAGACTAAACATAAGATATAAAGAAAATAAAAATGGAATAATATACAAAATGAATAGATTAACGAGATTAGGATCGGTCAGAATTATCGTTGATTATTTCCCTTATATATAAAAATGTGACATTAATAAGACTCTGATTTTGAAGAAATGCCATTAGACTAAACACAAGATATAAAGAAAATAAAAATGGAATAATATACAAAATGAATAGATTAACGAGAATAGGATCGGTCAGAATTATCGTTGATTATTTCCCTTATATATAAAAATGTTACATTAATAAGACTGATTTTGAAGAAAATCTACTAGACTAAACACAAGATACAAAGAAAATAAAAATGTAATAATATAGAAAATGAATAGATTAACGAGAATAGGATTGGTCAGAATTATCGTTGATTATTTCTCTTATATATAAAAATGTGACATTAATAAGACTGATTTTGAAGAAAATCTACTAGACTAAACATAAGATACAAAGAAAATAAAAATGTAATAATATAGAAAATGAATAGATTAACGAGAATAGGATTGGTCAGAATTATTGTTGATTATTTCCCTTATAAAAATGTGACATTAATAAGACTCTGATTTTGAAGAAAATCTATTAGACTAAACATAAGATACGAAGAAAATAAAAATGTAATAATAAACAAAATGTAATATTAATGAATAGATTAACGAGAATAGGTTCAGTCAGAATTATCGTTGATTATTTCCCTTATATACAATATAAAAATGGCATTTATAAGACTCTGATTTTGAAGAAAATCCACTAGATTAAACATAAGACACAAAGAAAATAAAAATGTAATATTAATGAATAGATTATACATACATATATGATAAATAAGGAGGCAACGTTTAAATTTTTTTAAAAATCGGAAGAGAATTACATATTAAAAAAGACTTTAATCTGATGGAAACATAATAGCGAGAAATATTATTGCATTTCTATAGTATGATACATAATATTTAAAGTAATCTAATATTGAGAAATTTTTACGAGAAAAGAATATATTTACCTATATTTATTTTTTATCAATATTACAGATTCTATAATATTATTGAAAATGTAGATTTTTAATATAATGTATAATAAAACAAGGAAATGATGTTTAAACTGTTTGTAAAAAATAAGAAGAGAGTTTTGTATTGAAAGAAAGTTTTCGATCTAATGAAACATAATACCGCCGAGAATATCGTTGATTCGTACTACTGCAATACGACATTTAAAGTAATCCGATCATTAAAAAATTTCTAAGAGAAAAGTTTAAAAGAGAAATAATTTTACTTATAATTTTTTCTACTAAATTATTTAAAAATATAAATTTTTTAAATTATTTTTTTAAATAATTTTTTCTACTTTATTAAATATAATATTAATTCACACAATTTATGGATAATTTTTAGATTAGATTTCTGTAACGAGCAAACGCTATAGAAATATCGATGTAATTATTTTTAAGATTTGAAAGGAATTTAGCACATAATAATATGCAATTTATTATAATAAATAATACATTTTTTCTGTTTCGCAAAATTCAATAAATATAAAACATAGTCAAGTAAAATAAAATAAATTTTCAAATAATAAAACACTGAAATGTGGACATGCTTTGTTCATCGATATTAATATTATGAAGTCATTTAATATAATAAAGACATTCATCCTTTAAAAGCAGATGCTGTTGCGCGCAAAACGCAGAATATCTTAAGAGAGTTGAAAATTTATAAAATTATATACAAAATTCCTTTTGTATTAAAAGTATGTCACTTAGCAAAAAGCTTTCTACTTTCTACTATTAGTGAGATAAACGTGAATTTAATTGGCACACGCTGTAATTTCTCATATTGTGGCATATGTTTTTTATATACGACGAAATTAAAGTTATCTTTTAATCTCTACTCACCAGTCTGGGTGCTGCTGTCAAAAAATGTGCTAGAAGTTTCGACTGTCATCGTTGCGAAGGTGCCATCTGTGATTTGAGCAGAGCTATCTCTTCGTCCGCGATACCTCTGAACCTATAAAATGAGAAGCAAAATATCAGAATCGTCAATTATATAAATGAAAGATAACTTGTAGTTTCTTAATAAAATTTTAAAAAATGTTTGATATTTTATTAGCTCGATATTGCTTTTTTTAAAATATTAAAAATTTTTTAAATAGAATTTTTACAAAATATTTTAATTTTTAAAATTATTTCGACTTTTTATCACAGAAGCAAGATTTTGCTTCATAAAATCCTTTTTATATCAATAAGTAAAAATTTTTACTTGTATATATTTATTCAATACTCTTAAGTTTGTACAAATTAAAAAAATCATAATTGTTTTTTGATGGTTTATTTTTGAGATGAATTTAATTTCTGCGAATATTTTCTCGAACAAACCGTGTCGTCACTCTGAGAGCTTTGTCGCCTAAAATTGCGGCATCGTATCATTTCCTCGGTAGTAGATTGCCGTCGAAAACCGCGCGCGATCAGAATCTCTTCGGTGGTGGATTGCCGTCGTATTATTGGCGCATGTTGGATGGGTGCGCGAGCGCAAGGGCTGGGATCTCTGGACGAACATGAAGAACTGTCCGGCGATCTGCAATATGTATCAAAATGAAAGAAATTTTAATATGTAACAAATTAATACAATTACACTACAATCTTGTTTATTTTTCACGAAAATAATTCGAAATTACATAGACACTTACAATTTCAACACATTATAAATTAACGTGTGCATAATAATAGTTTTAAATCATTTTGAAAAATATTAATAAACACATTACATATAATGTTTCAAAAAATATATTTAAAAAAATAAAATATTTTGAAATTTCATAACTAATTTCTACGAATATTGAATGAATCGTCATGTTTACGCCATACATGGTAGAAAATCAATAAAATACAGGTACCTCGGTGGCCGACCAGCCATGGAGGTGGATTGTCTTCTCAGTCGACCTTTTCTCTGCCTGATAGGACTGATATCTCTTTTATCAACATTTCTGTCGGGACTCAAATGACTTCTTGAATCGCGACGTCGTGGATAGGAAGCGGAATCCGGGCTCAAAGAGTCTCTTCGTGCTTTTCGACCTTCAAACATATCGATTAAATTAGTCTCATCTACCTTATAGAAATTATAAAATTATTTTCTTTATCATTAAAAAAATTAAATTGATTTTAAATAAATTATGAGATGTAAACACAAATAATAGCATTAGATATACCAAGAGCAATCGATTGCAGGTAGTATGTAGAATTTTAATTTGATGTATCATATGAGGAACTAGAGCAAATGTAACAATGGTATACTTACCACCATCATCAGGATCGGGAGATAAAGTTGGCTGACTGCCACGACGTCCTGTGGGTGGCATCGACTCATCTATTGCTGCTTGTTGGCGTATGAGTCTCGACAATTTATTGGGCGAAACTTCTTTACCCTTGTAATAACACTGTTAAAAGAGTCGATAATTATTACAATGTACAATATAATACAAAAAATTGAATATTTACACTGTAAAAAAATATGTAATGATATTACATAAAAGTATGTAAAATTACATAAATAATAAGTGTAAAATTACACGATAAATGATGAACATGTGTAGCTTTTCATTATTTATCGTGTAATTTTACATTTATTATTTATGTAATTTTACATATTTTTATGTAATATTATACATACATTTTACATATTTTTTACACTGTACAATCGAGAAAACTACAAAAAAATTTCAATAAATCAGAAGATATAATAAATGTATTCTATCTATCTTTGCCAAATAAATAAAAAAATTAATTTGACATCGCTATAACTTATGATGTCAAATGTCAAATGAAAATTCTATATATTATTAAATTACGATTTGTGTAAAAGAAAGAACGCGAAGTTTACCTGAGTAGTCGAGTCTCTTCGAGTGGAGAGCAACGGATGCGTAGGTGTATTGTTAACGTTCGGGGAGCCGACCGGGCTGGAGCTACCGGAAGTTGAGGTGCCGGGAAGCGGTAAGCTGCTTCCGATCGTCGGTGAGATTGCCGGCGGCGTTACCGAGGACATGACGATAGTCGGCGGGTTCATGGATGTGTCTAAATTGATACCGGACTTGTTTTCATTAGCGTTCATTTTCATGTCGACGCTCAGGGTCGACAAAGTGGACATCATCGTCGAGGTGCTGATTGTCACTACTCGCGATTCGATCGTGGTAGACGTCTTTCCGTCGACCGTCAAAGACGTTTTCGTGTCAATTATGGAGGGGCCCGTCGGTTGCGTCTTGGTTTCGGTACTGCTCGATCTCTCGCTTTTCTCCGTGGAGCTTCTCTGAGTCTCCATGTGGTCTCTATTTCGACAGAAAACAATTAGAAACAAATAAGATATGTGCTTCGAAACTTTGTCTCAATTTGAATATAAATGTGGTGTTCTGAATTGAAGATTATTACGCTTTGTATATATTTTTATATATAAATGTATTTTTATTATATATTTGATATGTATATGAAATATATAATATAAAATATATAAAATTATATATATATATATTTTGTCACACATTTTATACATATTATTAATTATATATTTTAAATACAAATATATATTTAATTTAATTAGCTTTATTCTTAAATTTTTAAGTAGTACAACCATTTATTCGAAAAAAATATTTATGAAAGAATATTTATACGTAAAATATATGATAAAAAATATATATTTTTTTATTATATATTTTGATAATCGATATTTTTTATCAATTAATCATTTATTTATTTGATCAAATTTAATGATTCATCTATACTGACCTGACCACGTTACTAGTCGCGCTGTCTGTGCTCGAAGCGCTCGGTCTTTGATCATTTCTGTAATATTTCGTAGGCGTAATGCCACCTCCATCGACTGACTGTTGAGATTGCCTACGTCTGTGATGACGACAGTTGTGTTTACGTTCCCCGGGACTCGGTGTCTGTCCCGCAATCACCGAATCTCTTCTGGATCTCGCGCTTTCTCCCGAGCCGCGACGAGAGTTTCTTGATTCGCCGGAGCCTGCAATTGACATAATATTAATTAATATACAGCAATTCCGCAGTAATCTCAGTTTTTTTTACATTTGTAAGATATTAAAAATTACTATATAATCTTGAGAATAAGTCTATACATCATCGTCGTAATTGTTTAGACAATTTTTAGCGACACTTTTCCTAATATAAAATTCACGATGTGTAAAATTCAGGGTGTCCAGCGGTCAAGGAAATCTGGAAAATCGGGCATTATCAGTGAATTTTATAAATCTGGAATTGTCAGGAAAAAGTCAGAAAATTTTACTATTTATCTGGATTTTTTCACATTATTCTACTATTTGTTTTAATAATTTGAAATTTCTTATTAAATAAATATAAAATTTTCCTTGACTCCCAGCATGCTAATTGTCTATGTTGTTAAAAATCTATTCATCTATAGCGTGTTCGTTAATTTATATTTTCATCGTCGTGTTATTTTATTTTAATGTGTTTAATAAAGATAAAACTAAACAATTTGAGATAATATAAATAAAAAAATGATTATTTAAATAGTTTACAGTGACATGTTTGTTTCGATTATCGCACATAATGCAGATTGTATAATTGATATAAATTGTTGTTTTTTTAATTTCCGAATCTTTTCATTATTGGCAAAAATATCTCAAGGATTTCATGATTTAACATTTAATTGATTTATCATATAGGTATATGCAAATTAAATATTTGGAAAAAAAAATACTAAAAAGTCAGGGAAAAAATTAATTTCTAGTTTTAAAAAATCTGAAAAAGTCTGCTGGACACCCTGTATCACCCTGACGCGTGCTTGAGGTATCATTTGTCTTCAGGACCTTTTCCCGTTATTTTTACCGCATCTACGAATCAATCACCCGGCAAGCCCGCGGCGAGAGCCTTTTCTATTTTTAGACTGGTACAGCCTGGTAGCTATATATTCTCTCTCGTCTGTGTATACACCGAAAAAGCTTTACCTCGTCGCGGCGTGGGCGAGATTACTGTGGGCGGCGGCTGCGGCTGCGGCGGGTCCTTCTTGCTCCAGAGTCTGGCTATGTCGTTTTTGAAGTCGCTGATGGCGGAGTCGCGTCTCGACTTGGTCGACACCTGGCTGCGGATGCCGCTGTCGACCGAGCTCTCCCGTCTCTTCCGCAGGCTGGCCAGGTGGCTCGCGTCCGTCGTGGTCTGCCGGGACCACGGCAGCGATTTGGCGATGTCCGCCAAGGTCTCCCTGCGGCAGAGCTTGTTGCTGCGTCCGCTCTTCCCGGAGGCACCGCCGCCCCATTCGCGCAGGATGTCGGTCAGCTGTGCGAGGCTCGATCGTCGCCGACGCTGGTTCGTCGGCGAGGAGTCCTGGGTCTCGTTCGGCGGCGAGATCGACGTGATTTGCGCCGCGGAATCGCGTCTGCCTGTTCCTGACGACGAAACGCACGTTATTCTTACTCAAGGACGTTGTTAGATCGTTCGATATAAGACGTCAGGAGCGTGTAAGATGACGTCGTCTTATTATCGCTGTACTTGTTACGGAAGAGAGATCTGATACGACAGTTTTATGAGAGTCTTTTGTTCCTTCTTTTAATAAATAATAAAATGATGTAGCTCTCGAGTATGCAAATAAATGACGAGGTATTATATTTTACTTACGTAATCGAGATCACTCGAAATATGGAAATATCGAATATATTAAATACGTAATTATTGTAAATTGGTTTAAGGGGATCCTAAATGTTCTTGAGAAGTCTGTTGTTTCTTTCCTGTTTTAACGACAAAATGTGAGGTCAGATAAACTATAAATCTATTTATTGGATATACGGATTGTTTTTTACCTGAAGTTGGAGCGCTTCGTTAAGTTTTTTACCTGAAGTTGGAGCCCTTTGTTAATATTAATACTTTAATTTGTACAGGGGAAAGATTTATCAATCTGTATATAGTCTCATATATCTAGGCTACAGAATTATGAATTCAAGAATGCTGTAACCTAGATATATAAACTATACAGATTGATCAATTTTTTTGTATTACACGTGCAGGCAAAGTGACACTTTCGGCGCATGTTTTCTGTGCGGAAAGCGGCCGATTTCCCCCGCCGTCATCTAGCGGCGACGCGGTGAGTGAATAAGCTGCGTTCAAAGCCATTATCTACGGCTCAGCCGCGTTAAAAGTCATTGTATACGGCTGAAGCCGTAGGAAATGTATTGAACACGGCTATTCCCCCACCGTGCCGCGGCAAGATGGCGGCGTGCAATCGGCCGCCTCGCGCACAGAAAACGCGCAGAAACAGCCACTTTGCCTGCACTTGTAATACAAAATAGTATGTGTATCACGTGCGGATTGACAATTGTTCACTTTCCGCACTTGATACACAATATACTATTCTGCACAATTTAAAGTATTAATATTAACAAAGGGCGAAGCGTTCTAATTTCAGGTAAAAAACCAATCTATAGCCAATAAATAGATTTATAGTTTATCTAACTTCACATTTTATCGATAAAACAGGAAAGAAACAATATACTTTTCAAGAACGTTTAGGATTCCCTTAAAAGGAAGAATAATTCTCTTACTATTTCGTTTTACAAATAGACAATATTTTTTTAAAGAAATGCACTTATCCGGGAAGAATATACAAATACTATTAATTTCTGCAACTACGCGGCCAATTACAATTCTCATGAAAATGAATTCAAAGGGTGCACTTTCGCGAGCGGAGACCATCGAATTTCCATAATGTGCGAAAAAAAGAGAAACGCTGGTTTACTAGGGTCGTCGAAGCGTGTCCGTGCATACCCAGTCGTTGCTTCAGAGTGGACTCCTCCACCTGCTCTCGCACGAGATCGTCCCAGCCATTGCCACCCTGCCATATCAGCCCGACCTGATGACTTAGGATGGGCAGGTTGCACACGAAGCAGATCGCTGTCATGGTCCTGAAAAAAGGAAGTGCGCGGTCTCGGCTTAAGCCGGCAGGGGCAAAAGAAAGCGTGACGTGTGTCCGTTCACGCCGCGACTCGCGGCCGAAACGGAAGAACTTTCAACGGAACGGAAGAAGAAGGTGCATCTCTCAACGATAAAATTACGTGAAACCAGGCCATGCCAACAGAGCGCTCAAAAGTGATAACTCAATTCGAAGTCGTGGTTTCTTTTCTTTTTCCTCTTTTTTTTTTAAGCCCTTTTAAGGGGATGCTGACTAGGTCTGTTTTATCGACAAATATTATTTTTATTTGACGCTTTATTAGCTATACAAAATGAAAATTCTTTACTAGGATTAAAGTCTTCATAATAACTTGTAAAAATTTTTTATATATAACAATATAAAATTATATAGAAATATATAAAGTTATACATATAATCGCAAAATTATATGTGAAGTATGTTCATACATAATTAGATAAAAGTGCTTTTTATATATAATTATATAAATAAATAAATATATATATATATAATATATTTATATATATATATATAAATTTATATAATTATGTATGAAAATAGACATATTTCACATATAATTATATATAAAAAATTTTTTCCGGGAACAAATCTGGGTTACTACATATGTATATATATAAAAAAACAAGAAAGATAAATAATTACAGTTTTTCTATCAGTCTTTTACATTGGGTCAATCTAAAGAAAACTAATTATTTACCTTTCTTGGTTTCTTTTTATATACACATAACAGCCCAGATTTGTTATTATGAATACTTTAATTCTAGTAAAGGATTTTTTATTCTGTATAGCTAAGAAAGAGTCAAATAAAAATAATATTTGTCAAGAAAACAGACCTAATCAGCATCCCTTTAAGACAAATTTTCATGCTCGAATCGTGAAACTATCATCATCTGTGTAGAATTGGGGGATGAAGCTCGCTTTGATACTGATTATATACAGGCGCGAGCCTCTTCCCGCCTTTTTTATTTACATATATATATCGTCGCGAAACCACGCTTCGTCTATGCTTCCACTTCGTGAATACGATATATCGAAAGAACTTAACGAGATATTCAAGATAATACAAACGTAGCTAAGTATAGAACAACACTCTAACAATGTATACAATAGACACAATAACGCAGGTGTAATAATTACAAACGGCACTGGCGATTGTGTAAGCTCGACTTTTGAGAATACGCGAGAATAATTCTTGCGAGAAAAATAATCTCCGATCACATACAATCTTCGAAATAATATAAAGCGTCGTCTACAAAAATTAATATCGATCTTAAAAACGAGCAAAGATCTATAAAGTAACACATACAGTATCATAAACACTCGCGTCGGCATTTCTAAGAAAATCTAGGAAGTATTGTACTTACACTGAAAAAAAAAAATTTATTGAATTCAAATAAATATTTATTCCAATACTGCCTAATAAATCATTTATTTGAAACTAATAACATATTGATTTGATGTAAGAAAATTCTTTTCAAATCAGAAAAATATTCATTCGTTTCAAATAAATGATTCATTAGGCAGTATTAAAATAAATATTTATTAAATTAATAATCTTCTTTCAGTGCAGCATTGATTGGCAAGGAAAACGAGTCAATCTCTAGATTCTATTTTTTTCAAATTCTCGAGACACTCACACAGAGAGCCTATCTAAGATTATCGCAACATTGACGTATTGTTTTGACGTTGAATACATGTGAGATTAAATTCTTGGCGTCATTTAGAATTAGCATAAATTTAAATGTGAATAGGGCGAGAGAACTCGAAGGAGTAAACGTAGCGAGACAAAGAGAGAGAGAGAGAGATAGCGAGAGAACGCGAGACTCATCCTGGCGTATGCAAAGCACGAGATCGCCGAGCTCACACAAGTCGACATCGCATCAGCCTCCGGTTTAGGAATGTTACCGCAGCGTGTTTCGCGAGCGCCGATGAAACGTCATTCCAAAAGCGTGGATGCATAAAGAAACTTGAGATAAATATTATACAATATGTATAAAATATATATATATATATATATATTTTTTTTTTTAATTTTATTTATATATATATTTGATACAAGTACTAGAGAGGCGAGAGAGCCGCATGTCTTTTCTCATGTGTATACAGCACATAATATAAAAACTTTTTTAGAAGGCATATATCTGATTTGGTGTTTCGACCTGTAATGTCGAAGTCTGGGGCTCTGCAACGACATCGCATGGCAAGGGCCTGGCCGACCTGCAAAAGATACACACACAAACTTTTTTTTTCGACAGACCGCTATACGCGCGTTCGATAGTAAAGTAGTAGTTGATGTAGAGAGGCATCGCGCTCTCGATGATTGCTGTAAATCCTGAAAAGGCGCATGATAGAGCTCGAGATTTTGAGATAGAGCGTGGAGGGAAGATAAAATCGATGATCATTTTTTTTAAATCACTCTGAAAACCGCGTTCTTTCTTACCCCGGAAAATTATGACGTTGCGAAAAAGACTGACAATGGAACTCGATAATATTGTAACGCAATAATATTGAAAATAAATAATATAATATATCGTGATTTCGCGTTCGCGTAATATAATATATAATAGTTATAATACATGAAAATATATACGTTATACGTTCCCAAAGTATCTCCCGCATTCATTAAAATGTTTTAGCAATTGTTTACTAATCGAATGGCTGACATAATACCAAAATTAAATTTAATGTTATTGCCTGCGTACGAGGAAATGCGATTTTAATTATTCAATATAGCTTACAAATATCATTATAAACGTATTACACAGGAAAATTTCCGTATTATTAGAACATACGCGTATTTCACGTCCGGTCTCACTCATGTCGGATTTTCGGACATGTGTGTGTTGAATGAACCCTTCCCGCGTCAAATATACGTGCAAACTTTAGCGCTACAAATTTCTATTAATATATATATATATATATATATATATATATATCCGTAGTCTTCGCATAATTTCTGCGAGACCGATACGACACAAGTTTTGCCATGTCAGTAACATTCTAGAAACTCTCTGGTCGTGTCATAATAATATTAACTCGTTAAAACTTGGCCTGCCTTATGTTAAGAGAAATCGTGAGTCGACCAACTCGATCCATTCGCATGCTAATATAAACGGGGTCGCTAATGGCGAAGCTTAACGGCCTCCATAAGACGAATTAAGAGAAATAATTTCACGCGTGACGGAAGCGCAATTACAATTTGGACTGGAAATACACAGTGGGCGGAAAAGACGTGTTTGAAATCCCGAATCCGAAAACGCGCGCGCAACCAACAATTAATTAATCCCCTGTCAAAGCTGTAGGGCTTACTTATGCACAAAGTGACCTAATTAACGATTCACTTGCCGTGATTACTCCCGTTCGGCAAACAAACGAGAATCGACAACGAACTTGTGTCTAATATCGATAGTCAATAAAGTCGAACGGAAAAGAAGGCTCCTTCGGAGAGAGAAAATATGGGGAAATTAAATTTGTTCGAAAATACATTTTTTAATTTTATTTGTCTCTTTACTCGCGAATTATTCAATTATAAAACTTCAAGTTTTATTGATTATGCATTCTTCTCCAATCTCGTTATAATATTGATCTTATTTTTTTAATTTAAAATTTTAATTAAATATTCAATTATCGCATGTTTAATAGCGAATATTAAACATTTGTGAAACGTATCACTTAAATTTTTTTTTTTTTGAAAAAAAAAATTTTACATAAAATGAACGTGGTTAAGTGTTCTAGGGCATATTTAAAATCAATGAAGTATACGATAATGAGAGATATAATTGAGACTCGACACACTTTTATTTGTCTTAATGTTAACTTCTTTTATTACTATCGATGTTTATGCTCAACTGTAAAAAATAGAAGCTGAAATTATATAGATTCAGCATTGCGTTCATTTGAAATGATTAAGTAAAGAGAATAAAGATTATAATAAAATATAAAAATGATTGCCAAGTAATGTTTTCTGAAATAAAATAACAATTTTCTAGTATCTCAGCGAGGATTTTCGCTCTTTTTTTGTTGATGTTATTCGAAACCACAACACAGAGTACAGATGCAAGGAAATACACAGATCGCGGACTTTTATTTGTATGCGTCAAAGCCATACGTTTCTAAAGCCACCACGCTGAGGTTTATAAAGCGAGAAAAATCACGTAAAAATTACATATTACGGTAAAAAAGTCTAAATTAAAAAAATTTTAAATATAAAAATTTTAATTTACATTATATTAGAGAGAGAGAGAGAGACAGAGAGAGACACGACCAATTATTAAACGTGAACCTTTTTTTTTTTATTACCAAAGACTTTTGTAGCGTAACGCGATAAATGAAGCGAGAGATACATAATATTTTTGTTGCCAGTCACTGCAATTTCGCGCGCCATTAAAGGCGATCGTCACGGAAAATATGTTTTAACTGACTTCCATTTCCAGAGAAGTAAAAAACCAATTTTAAAAGCAATAAAATAAATTTATTGTTATTTGAAAGCGCAAATACTATCTTTAAAAGCAGAGACCCTTTTTTCGCGAGATTACACAAATATTAAAACACATGCGCGATATAACGAGGATAACGCAAATTTGCCCGATAACCCAATAATTGTGCGCGGAAGTTTCAGAGCTTTGAATAAAATTTTCAATAAAAAAAATTTGTTTGACTTTTTTAAATAATGGAACTTGGATTTTTTTCCCTCTATATTAATTAATCATCATTGAAATTTATTCTTTGTTAAAAGCATGTTACATAACTTTTGAATCTCTCGTGTTTCCAAGATTGATGGGAAATATCTCTTTGATTCCCTTTTTAAATTACAATATTGTAATGAATGTTACAATGAAATGTCGTCATCTTTTTTACGTAATGGCGATTTTTTATTATTTGTTAATTCTCCTCACTTTAATATATGTATTTTAGTAACACGCGTGCCAAAATCGACCACCCCTATAATGCGTGCTTTAACGTCGCATTGCGGCGTGTATTATCGGCCTGCGAAATACCTGTACGTCATTAATATGACGGCTTTGACATTTCCTATTTCAACATCCATTGCACGATAATAATGCCGATTGCGAGAGCCAAAGGTAAATAGTTCGCGTCATAGAGCGAAATAGAATCGGTTTTAGGATCAAAAAGGAAAATAAAATTAATTTACGTGTAGACAATTTTACATTTACCATCTTTTTAATATTTTTTCTTTTTTAATTTATTTTTAATTTATTTCATTTATTTAATTAATTTATTTTTTACTTTAGTTTAAAATATATATTTTACGATATCATACCATTGGGAAAGATTAAAAGCGAAAAGTCAAGAATCTCAGTTTCCCGGAAAATTGTTAATTAAAAAAATAGAAAAGAATTATTTAAAATTATACATGCAAGTAATTCAGATTAATTGAAGTAAACTTTCCGGCTAATTTCCATAATGATTTCTGGATAATTACTTTTATGCATTTTCGCGAATATATTTAAAAATTTTGTTCTTCAGATGTATAGAGCGCTTTTTTACATATTTATTATTCTCTAGTCTCGCAATTGTGTGGAATGACTTACTCATATAACGTGGAATGAATTACTTGTGCGGGCATCATGTTAACATTGAAATTATGAACGAGCAGCAGATATTCCGCGAGATCATATTCGCTTCTGAATTTAATTTCACGCAACACGACGCGACGTGTGTAATTCGAAGCGTTGTAACTAGAAACTAGTATATATAAGTGGGATGCAAGAATGTAACTATATATTTTTAAAATTATTTTGCGTACGAGCAAAACACGAATTTATACTTATACACAATTGCCTCTCTTACACGTTCAATTTTATGCAATTTGAAGCATCATTTTTTTCAAAGCTATAATTTCATCTATATATTTATTATAGTTGCATTTAGAACGTAGCATATTGTTAATTCTTTTCGAAAAGAGAATACACATTTTTTAAAATAATGGTATTATTAATGATGTTGTAGCAGAAAAATGTATATTATAAGTAGCGATTCTCGCTTATAAATTCTTTCCTATGTTTCCAAGGAGGATTAACCTCTTAAATTTTGGAATAATCCAAGAATAAAACATAGAGACTACATTTAATAGTTTATTCTTACTAATGCTTGCTTCTAATCTTAAAGAGAAGAGAGTTTAAAACTTTCTACGTGAAAGCTTGAGAAACCTCTATTTTTTAAAATAAAATTCTGTGTCGCGTAATTTCATATACATCTTTTACAGTGTAAAATAGACGTTTTGCCAAATTAGAATATTGTAAATTTTATTTCTAGTTTACGTACAGTTCACAAGTTTGGAAACACCTTACATTTTGCAGTTAAACAATTGCATGGCAGCGATCTGTCGTAAATAAAAAAGTCATTTAAATATTTTACGTTTATTTTACGATTTATTCGTACAAAAAATCTGCACAGATCGAAATGATACTCTTAATTTCAGAGAAAAATTCTCTAAAGAAATATTATTTAATTAGATATTCGTAATATGCAAGAATATAAATTTAATGGGACGTTTTATCAGTATATTATTTGAAATATGATTAATCGTGATAACAAAAAACAGTCTTATAAATGGACATTTGTTATTTATTGCATACAGTATCCTTCACAAGTTTGGAAACACCTTACATTTTACAGTGAAACTCGCATGACAGCGATCTGTCATAAATAAAAATGTCATTTAAATATTTTACGATTTATTCATACAAAAAATCTGCGCAGATCATTGCGATTGTTTAACGGCAAAATGTAAGGTATTTCCAAACTTGTGGAGGGTACTGTATATATGAAAAAAACACGCGGAAAAGTTTTTGTAAGGAAGCGTTTAAGACGTTTGCTCGAAGGTATCATGATAACTTGCAGCCTTGGCATGTCGCCAAAGATTGTCGTAATTGCGGCTTCGTAAAAACGAGCCAACTTTATTCGCGGAAAACTGGCTAAGTATCCGACGAGGTAGTTCCCGCTCAAATTGAAGGACTCGTCTTCTTGCTTTGCAGATCGCGATGCAGCCCACGCGGAGGATCTTAATAAATTCCGACCTCGAAACTCGTCGGAAGAAAAACTTATCCGCTGCCATTTCGAAAACTCATCTGCGAATAAGCTTGCGGTCAGTGACAATTAAATTAAGGAAAATGAACTACAAGAAAAAAAATAAGAAACTAAATTTTCTTTCGCATTCAATATTTATCCCAGAATAAAAGAGAGTCGCGAGAAACTCTTTATTATGTGAGAAAACAAAGGCACTTATATATTTTATTTCTATAAATATTTCATATATGTATATATGCATATATATTTGTAATTATGCTTTTTTATACTTAATAACATTATTTTATATTATCTTTCAGAATTAATGTTAAATTATTTTGGTAATTAATTGTAATAAACATTGCATTAATATGAAAAGATATATAAATTAAAA